AGAAAAAAGGTGTTCCCTGATTTTGATGACAGCCTTCCAAAAGGTTAGTAGTAAGCTAATGTAATGTTAATAGTTAATGCTAATAATGTTAATAATCAAAAGAAATATATTAATGCAATCCAATTTATATTGTTCAATTATAATATTTAAAAAAAAAAAAAAAAAAATATATATATATATATATATATATATATATATATATTTATATATATATATATATATATAATTTTTTTGTCAATTAATTTTGGGCTAAAATGTATCGGTTCAGGCTCCGTTTTGGCACTGTTACCGTTTTAAAAGTATCGATTTAGCACTGGTATCAAAAAAAAAAAAAAACGATACCCAACCTTACTTAAGAGACAAATGTGACTTCAGCTCATGCCTCAGACTAGAATTTGCATCTCCAGTCTGAGCCACGAATTTTTAAGATTGCATCTGCTCAGAGATAATATTGAACCAAATGCCAAAGGCAGGGTTCAACCTGTCACGAAGAGCCGTTTCCGGTCTTTGGGAGCCCCTCAAATGTCAGTCGCAGCCGGTTTCAGTATAAATGTCTCCCACTCAGACTGTGCTCAAATCGACCTAATTGCCTTACCCTGCTGAGATGAAGTACTAATTGGAATATCTTATCCTAATTAACCTTTTCAGATCCACATGTTATTTTTAATCTTTCCTTTGTGAGTGTGTGTGTGAGGGGGCCCGAGATAAAACACCCGCGGTGGTGTTGGAACGCGGGGGATGGTGAGGATGTCCTCAGGTTTCCATCATCTCTTTCTATCTCATCCCTCTCATCACATCTCCATGTCTCTTTCAGTTTCATCTTCCTTTCTTCTTAACACATGGTTCTCTAGATGGCATGGATGACCACTGCCAGACAGATACGGTTACTGTCATCTCTGTATGGACACATTGCAGCTTCAGTGTTGGGTTTCATGGCTACAACTCGCAAAAAGAGATCATTTCCAGACCCCCCAAGTTTATGTAATATATATAGTGCCTCTTTAGGGACACTCGGATGGGCTTGTTACCAATCAGCCACTCTTTTTGACATGGATACATGCGTATTCTGGGTTATTTTCAGTTTATGTGTTTGTAGCATGCTGTTGATGACCATAGGCAATCATTTCCACAGTATGTGGCATGTTCATAATATTATTAGCCCTCTAAAGGAATATATATTTTTAAATTGTCTACAGAACAAACCATTCTTATACCATGATTTGCCTTTTTAACCTAGTTAAGCCTTTAAATGACACTTTAAGCTGAATACTGGTGTCTTGAAAAATATCTAGTCAAATATTATTTACTGTCATCGTGGCAAAGATAAAATAAATCAGTTATTAAAAATAAACTATCATGTTTAGAAATGTGTTGAAACAAATCTTCTTTCCTTTAAACAGAAATTGGGGACAAAAAATATACAGGGGGGCTGATAATTTAGCAGGGCTAACTATTTGAACTGATGTCAACTGTATATAATAAATAAACGATAATAATATAATTACTAAATACAGTTGAAGTCAGAATTATTAGCCCACCTGAATTATTAGACCGCTTGTTTATTTTTTCCCCAAAATCTGTTTAATGGAGAGCAGATTTTTTCAACTCATTTCTAATCATAATAGTTTTAATAACTCATTTTTTTATAACTGATTTATTTTATCTTTGCCATGATGACAGTAAATAATATTTGAGTACATATTTTTAAGACACTTCTATACAGCTTAAAGTGACATTTAGAAGCTTAACTAGGTTAATTAGGTTAGTTAGGCTGGTTAGGGTAATTAGGCAAGTAATTGAATAACGATGGTTTGTTCTGTAGGTTATCGAGAAAAAATATAGCTTAAAGGGGCTAATAATTTTGTCCCTAAAATGGTGTTTAAAAAATTAAAAACTGCCTTTATTCTGGTCGAAATAAAACAAATAAGACTTTTTCCAGAAGAAAAAATATTATCAGACATACTGTGAAAATGTCTTTGCTCTGTTAAACATCATTTGGAAAATATTTTAAAAAGAAGAAAAAAATTTGAAGGGGGCTAATAATTCTGACTTCAATTGTACATTTCAAATAAGTAATTAAAGAATGCACACAACTAGGTGTGTGGCTGGTGTAGCTGAATCTACCCAGCAAGCATTTTTTGTGTTCAAAAGATGTCTAATAAATGTCTAAACAAAGTCGTCTTGGCTAAAACAAGGCTAAATTTGGGCTGTCAGTGGAAATCTAATAGAATAACCCAAAACTAGACTAGTCATCAGATAAACAGACATGAATGACTACACATATAAAGTCTGTTTAATCTGTCTATTTGACAACTAGTTTCTTGGATGTCTATTAGATTTGCACTGACAACCTGGGCTTGACATCAACACCCGCCAGCCTGGCAAATGCAAGTATTTTTCAGCAGCGGCGGTTAAGACAGCCGCTCCCACTAGCCACTTTGGCTGGTTGGAAATAATTTTCAAATTGTAGTTTTCTTAAAAGCAGAGTTCGGCAATAAAGATCGCTCAATATGCGTGCAAATGTGATCTTATAATCGAAAAGCAACACAAGTGACAGAAATAACTGTGCTCGCGCGAGCAAAAGAAAGCAGATGAATACCGAATAAGAGGATGATTACTCGTGCTCACAGGTGATGTGATGCGAGCGACTGCTTACAAAGCGTGCGCGCTCCCGTTTCCTTTCATGAAGCAACCATGCCTGGAAACTCAACTAGTGCGATCCGTTTTCTTTAAAAATAGAAAAGTGATGCTTGTGCATCTACAGTCCTGCTACTTTTAAGAGCTTCGGATTTAAAAAAAAAACATATTTTTGTAAGCAGCAGCAGTTACTGCTTTCACTTTTCTTTCACCATTCTTTAAACAAATTATTAACAGGACTAAAGTTAACGTGATCCTTTCATTAGCACACACGGTATGTTTGTCACTAGCTTTCTTTTGATTATAGTTATTTTTATTATTATGGTTTAATTGTATTTTAAAGATTGCTTTAACTCCCTGTTTAGTTAACTGGTAATCTAGGACCTTTAGCCAGGACACAGTTCATGCATTGTTTTAGATGGCAATAATTACTAAAAAAAATAAATAAATTAAAAAAAAAGTTTCGTTGAATGAAAAGAGCATGTATACAGCTGTATTTTGCTTGTTTTGACACATTATTTAAAAGTTGTGGCTAGGAAATAATTATTTATTCTTGGTGTGGTCAGAGATAAATTAGGTAAATTCTTAATTTTGAGCCGTGAAAAGTTCTGTGAAATAAAAACTAGTTGCAGTGCCACACTACAACCCATTTGCTCGTGCACATTCAGCAAGGTCATACACAACACAAAAAAAGTTAAATGCATGTGGACAAAACACAAAAGCTAAATCAAGTGATTTTAGCATGTCAAAGTCAAATTCATGCATATAAAATATATTCTCCCGACAACAAAATTGTGGCGAGTTATGTTGGAAATCTACAAGCCAAAGTGGCTGGTGATTAAAAAGGTTAATGTCAAGCTCTGCTGACAACCCAAGTTTAGCTTTGTTTTTGCCAAGCTGTCCATATTTAGATGTCTATTAGATGTCAATTAAACACAATTGTTTGCTGGGTAGTGAACACATCCCCACATTGAAAGGACAAATTAGACAACTTTGCTGCAGTAATACATTAAAGTAAAACATGTATGTGCTTCAAATGCATCACCACAAAAACCTACATTACATGCATAGCACAGATGTCAAACTCAGATCCTGGAGGGCCGCAGCTCTGCACAGTACAGCTCTAACCCTAATTAAACACGCCTGATCAAACAAATTGAGGCTTGTTTGTAACCTACAGGTAAGTGTCTTGGAGTTGGGTTGGAACTAAACTGTGCAGGGCTGCGGCCCTCCAGGAACTGAGTTTGACACCACTGATGTATTTAATTCAGTTGTGTTCTTTATACAAAAGACATCCTGGTTTTGTCTATATTTTCAAGGCAATAGGATAGATGCAGAAGTATGCAGAAGGACTTTTAATTTACAGTAACCTAGGTCAAGCGCTTCTTAGTAAACTATGCAATTACAACATCAGCGCATTTAAAGTCTGTTTTCTTTAAAAATCAACAATCTCCACTGCCTGATAGATATACAATATAAAGTTAGTCTCAGGGGTGACGCGGTGGCGCAGTAGGTAGTGCTGTCGCCTCACAGCAAGAAGGTCGCTGGTTCGAGCCTCGTCTGGGTCAGTTAGCGTAAATGTGTGGAGTTTGCATGTTCTCACCCAGGTTTCCTCCGGGTGCTTTGGTTTCCCCCACAGTCCAAAGACACGCGGTACAGGTGAATTGGGTAGGCTAAATTGTCCGTAGTGTATGAGTGTGAATAAGTGTGAATAAGTGTGAATAAGGATGTTTCCCAGTGATGGGTTGTAGCTGAAAGGGCATCCGCTGCTTAAAACATGTGCTGGATAAGTTGAGGGTTTATCCCGCTGTAACGTGACCCAGAATAAAGGGACTAGGACGAATGAATAAATGAATGAAGTTGGTCTCAGAATGAGCAAGAAGCACTTTATTAAAATGCATTTGTCCGCATCATGTTTTTAAAATATGAATGCGCCATGCACATGATGGTTGGAAGTAGCTTACCTTCGTATGGCATTTGAAATGTGACGCAATAGAAATATAAACAGTGTCTTGAGTCATAGCTGGGCACCATAGACAGCCGCTGACTTGCGGCACCCATGTGCCACAACATATTACAATTGCAAAATGCAATGCATTCTGTACTGTACAGCAGACACAGGGTAGATTGATTGACGATGGTCTACAGCTAATCAGGACGCAGAACACAATGCACTGTAAAATAACTAAATAAATAAAAATAAGCAAACTGCAGTAAATAAATGAGAGAAACTGAGAGCCCACAAAATGTGATCCAGGGACCACTGTATTGCTTCTACTTTAGAATGAGCTTAGCTTCTCTGACTGTGACCCATCGTCATACTGCCTGTATGTGAAGTCATTTCTCTGAAATTCTTTCCTCAGAACAAGGCTCATGGTCATGCCTTTATCCGGTTACACGCGCCTTGGCAGGTATTGAGCAGAGAGGCAGAGTTTCTCAAGATCAAGGTGCAGACCAAGAAGGTAAGATTGAGCAGAGTTTTGTCTAACTCTCGAGACAGAACCCAGCCCCTCGGGATGTCCTTATGTGAACTCCCTGCGAGTATTATGTAGCATGTCTCTTAAGTGAGCAAAGCACAAACGAATGCCACTGATTGTTGTTTCCATGCTTCACTGATAATAATAAACACTGTGTCTTGTTCAGAGTTACGAGCTGAGGGAAGAAAAAGGTCTGGCCGCCACTATGAATGAAGTGTGGCGGAAGTTAAATCAACCGTTCCAGCCCAAAGTACCCCATCAGGAGCAAGAGAACAGCCGCACCAAGTTCCTCACCCACTGTTTCTCCCGGGACAAGCTCCACCTGTGAGAGCCTAGCGTGGTTGGGGTGATATAGGGTTAAATGTCATCAGGGGCCACAAGGGATTTTCTTACATTCTTAAAGGACTTGATAGGATTTGCTTGAGTGCCAGTGGAGTCTCATGGATGTCTCATGGCTATTTTTTGCAGGTACAACATACAGTCAAAGGACACCTTCTTCGACAATGCCACAAGGAGCCGAATAGTGAGTCTATTTTTTGTTTGTTTGTGAAAGTCTTGTTCAGTCAAAATTGCACAATGAGATACCTGTTCTTTGCATGTTGAGAAGAGAACATGATATACAAGAGGGAACAAAAGCTATTTGGTATTAGCAGGTGATTGCCGTCTCTAGGCACCGGTCTAGGGAACCAGTTCCACTGGGAATTTTCCAGGAACAATTTTCGGCTTTATTGTTTGCTTGCACCTCTCTCACTCCTTCTCTCTCTCTCTCTCTCTCTCTTGCCATCTGCCCCAGGTGTATGAAATCCTCAGACGCACAGCCTGCACACGGACCTGCCAAACCATGGGTTAGTAATGTGTAAATCCATAACCTAAGCATGGACTAGCGTTCAGGGAATCCTCAGAATAGTCAGAGCCAGAGAGTCTTTGCATGTGGGTATGGTGCAGTTGGGACAGGGTGCAACACAAGCCCATGCCATATGCTCTCTTGGACTGAACCATCGTGCAGACGGACCGCCTGGGGGATTCTCGGAGATCGGGGCTATCCAGCAGAAGGGATGGCATGATGCTCTCTTTAGTTCTCCCTCCCTTTCTTCCCTTCTCGCAGACTTCCACTTGATTTCTTTTAGACTGAGGAAATTGGGTCATAAAGTTCTGGGATTGGGATCCGAATTGAAGCCGGGTCCATTGAGGTGGAAAAAAGGGGGGTGCTGAGTGGTGGTGGTCTTTCCAGCTTGTTGCTGGGGAGCTACTTTATTAATTGAGGGCTAATCACCAGAGCGTACGTGTCGTTCCTTTGAGGACTGATTAATTACTTTGATTAAAGCCTGTGTTCCACATGTCAGCTGCCTTCCGCCTCGAGGACTCGGCCTGTCGGCTTTCTGAAAGCAATGAAGTTGGGTCACTATAAAGTCACAGCACTCAGTCATTAGAACCCGGATGATGTTACGAATATTAGGCAAGGCTAGGGAGGTTTTTGTATATACTGTAGCACTTCACGGGTGTCACAGTGGCACAGCGGGTAGCACTATCGCCTCACAGCAAGAAGGTCACTGGTTCGAGCCCTGGCTGGGTCAGTTCGCATATCTGTGTGGTGTTTGCATGTTCTCTCAATGTTGGCATAGGTTTCCCCCACAGTCCAAAAAGACATGCACTATAGGTTTAAGTGAGCTAAATTGTCCGTAGTGTGTGAATGAATGAGACTGTATGGTGTTTCCCAATCATGGGTTGCAGCTAGATTTTTTAAAGGAATAGTTCACCTTAAATTAAAAATTATGTAATTATTTATTCACCCTTCTCTTGTTCTAAACATATTTGAGTTTCTTTCTACTGTTGAACACACAGTAAGATATTATTTTAAAGCTAGAACCCATTGACTTCCATCGTAATTTGTTGATGGATGACCGAACCAACATTGTTTGAAATTTTGTATTTGTGTTCGACAGCAGAATGAAACTCATTAAGGTTCAAAAGCACATGAGGGGATGTAAATAATGAGGTATTTCAACTTTTTAAGTGAACAAACCCAGTACTTAATTTGAGTCGGATGTTCCTTCTGTTCCGTAAAATGTCAGATATTCGTGTTTTGTGTTCTGGTTTTAATTTTAACGAATCTGGCATTAAGTTGTGCATGGTGAATAGGTGTGTGTGTGTGTGTGAGTGAGAGAGAGAGAGAGAGAGAGAGAGAGAATGTGAATGAGTGCAAGCGAAGGCTGTGCTGATTGTGTGTGTGTGTGTGTGTGTGTGTGTGTGTGTGTGCAGGTAGTCACAATGCGCAAGCTAAAGCAAAATTCACGTTTAACTATTGGCCCTCAACAATATTTTCAGCCAATCAGCTTAATGTTTGGAATCAGTCTCATTGGTTGGTGGTTGTTGTTTTGCGCTCAGTGAGCAGCGAAAATAAATAACGACATAATGGCCTACCTGAATAATATTTGTATTTTTAAAATGGCAAAGAGGCAGTCACGCATATTTTCATTTATTTTTTTAACATTTTTTCTCATGTACATTTTAAAACCAAGAGTAAATCTGATAATGAGCCTGATCAAATGAGATCTCAAGAAGGTGAACCTGCGTGAATGGATCAGGATAGCAGGAAGCAGAAGCAAAGCGATCTCAAGTCAGCCAGACAACATGCCAGAAGAGGTAACGGTGGGCTCTTCTCGTAGCAGTCAGTACCTAGATGGGAGACCACATGGGAAAGCTAGGTGGCTGTAGGAAGAGGTGTTAGTGAGACCAGCAGGGGAGCCCAACTTGTGGTCTGTGTGAGTCCTAATGCTCCAGTATAGTGACGGGGGCTCCATGCTGCTCAGTGAGCACCGTCTTTCAGATGAGACGTTAAACCAAGGTCCCGACTCTCTGTGGTCATTTAAAATCCTTGGATGTCCTTCGAAAAAAAAAAAAAAAAAAAAAAAGGGGGTTTAACCCTGGCCTACTGGACAAATCTGCCCACTGACCTCTGTCTATCATGGCCTCCTAACCATCCCCATATCATAATTGACTTCATCACTCTGTCTCCTCTTCACCAATCAGCTGGTGTGTGTTGTGTGATCTGGGGCAATATGGCTACCGTTGCGACATCCAGGTGGATGCTGCACACTGGTGGTGGATGAGGAGATTCCCCCAATGTGTTAAGCGCTTTGAGTGTCCATAAAAAGCACTATATAAATCTAAGGAAATTATTATTATTATTATTAGACTGAGTGAATCATTTAATTATTTGTTATTCAATTGGCACACGTGAAGTGAACTGAATAGTGATTGCTCATACGATAGCTACATGTTTTTATTATCAATGACTGACCTATAATCTAATATATGACGCTAAATAATTATAGACAATTATAATTTCAGAAATGTGATGCTTTTTTTGCGCTATCATCGTTTAATGACGTCATGTTCTGGGAAAACTGAAACTGTTTGTTGGATGTCAGTCATGCTAACTTTAATCTCCTGGTTTTATTTCGGGAATTATTAGTTTACAAATTAAGCACTGAAATAACCTCTTTAGGTCACTCTCTCTCTTGTTTTTTGCATTTCAGGTATCACCACACTCATAGCTAACGGGGTTTATGATTCAGCATTCCCATTGCACGATGTGAGTTGATTTTCTTTAAATGTTTGGCCTTTCTTTTTCCTTCCAGGTTAACTCGAAATGAGTTTTTCTATGATTTCAGGGTGACTTCCACTCCTCTGGACAAGCCGAGGGAAAAAACGAAAGACAAGTATGTTGCTACCACAATGCAAATAATCAGAAGCGATTGCATGATTCAATTCTATGGGTTTGTGTTGCAGCTGTTACATGACGAATGGGCAAGATATGGTGCTTTTTACAAGTATCAGCCGATCGATCTCATCAGGTAAACATTTATGACCAATTTCCACCAGATGTTGCACATATACTTTGCACACACTCTCATGTGTAATCTTTAGGAAGTACTTTGGCGAGAAGATTGGTCTGTACTTTGCCTGGCTTGGTGTGTATACTCAGCTTCTGATCCCTGCATCTGTGGTGGGCATTATCGTCTTCTTCTACGGCTGGGCCACTGTGGAAACCAACGTACCTAGGTATGTGCCAATAAAACCTACCGAGGGCTGGGCACGGGTCCCTGTTGTGGGTGGACACGCGGCAGCTGCCATCCTGGGAGTAACCGACTGTGATTATAATATTCCACTGATATTAAAGCGATAATTAGAATCAAGGAGCATTGCGTCTGATTCATAGGATTAATTTATGCTAGAATTGCAATTCAGCATGCAATTGCTTTCGATGCATCCCAGGGGAGCACAGAGAGTTTTGTGATGCTTTTAAATGTCAGTGCACACTGAACCAGACTGTTTTTTCTAGATAGATGGTTCAGTCTATGTTTTCACAGAGGTCACAAGATGAAATAGTGTTGCATTTTTAATTGATACTTTAGACATTGGGCCATGCTGATGGATGAACACACTGCACCATATCAAGGCCATCATTAATTTATTTCCTTGCTGGACTGTCGCATGGCCGTGTCTAATTTTGTGTGTGTTTGTGTGTGTTTTCCAGCCAAGAGATGTGTGACGAGACTCAGAACTTCACTATGTGTCCGCTCTGTGATCGGGTGTGTGACTACTGGCAGCTGAGCACAGCGTGCGGTACGGCACGTGCCAGCCATCTCTTTGACAACCCGGCCACCGTGTTCTTCGCCATCTTCATGTCCCTCTGGGGTACGACCTAAAATCCCTCTCGTTTCATTATCTTGCTGTCTATTGTTATATTACAAGTTTGGGTCTCATTTTATATTAAGTGGCCTTAACTACTATGTTCTTGCATCAAAACATAAATATAATGCACTTACTGTATTCATAATGAATTGCAGAACACTACTAGTGGGATTCAGGCAGGGTTAGGGACAGGTTTGGTAGTGTGGGTAGGTTTAAGGGTGGGTTAAGGTGTAGGAGATAGTCAACAGTGTAATTAAAGATGTAATTACATGCATGTATTGAATCAATCATAAGCACAATGTAAATAATGTATTTACACAATAAGTACATTGTAAGAAATGATTAAGTGCATATTAGTTAAGGTCACTTAATATAAAGTGGGAGCTGGTTTAGTCATGGAATTCTTGGATCAGAATCAGAAACAGATTTATTGCCAAGGATCTGATTTTTCTTGGAAGTACAACTCATAAATCATATCTTAGAAATGTAAATATTTTTCATTTTACGCAACATGGTAAGCAATATAGGCTCATTCTGAAAACAAAGCCCTATATACGTTTCTGGAGATCACGAATTATGTAGCCAGAGGTACATATGACTGCATTTTGCCTCTAAAATGAAGGCTACGGGGTGGTACAGGTATGACGCTGTTTCTTTTAGCGTTTACCAGCTGACCGCTTACTTTCGTATGGACAGTTTTCTCGCTGATACCAGTTTGTCCAGTTAGCTCGCCATGTATGTCAATGGAGCTGAGACGCAGAGAGGAGTAGACCACGACGACGGGTTTTGAGTTCGGTTAGGAACAGTTCCAGAAAGACAAAAACAGAATTCATTCATTCATTCATTTTCTTGTCAGCTTAGTCCCTTTATTAATCCGGGGTCGCCACAGCGGAATGAACCGCCAACTTATCCAGCAAGTTTTTTTATGCAGCGGATGCCCTTCCAGCCTCAATCCATCCCTGGGAATATTATTATTATTATTATTATTATTAGTAGTAGTAGTAGTAGTAGTAGTTGTTGTTGTAGTAGTAGGAGTAGTAGAAGTAATAGTAGTAGTAGTAGAAAAATAATGATAATTAAATAACAACAACTATTATTATTATTATTAAAATAACAATAAACATTATTATTCAAAAACTAAAATAAAAAGTTAAATAACGGTGAGAATGTGATAAAGTCTGAAAACGCGGTAAAAAAATAAGGTGAGGGCTTTTCTTGATTTCCTTTTAAAACTGTGTGAAGGGGGTGGGGGGGGGGGTCTATCCGTGTTTTTGAAAATACAATTGGTTGGGTTTAGGGAAGGAGGTGGGTAGGTCAGTCGATCAGTCAGTCAATCGACAAAATTTGTAATTTTACAGTTTATTTCCTGCAGCTGGGGTGCCGAAAAAAGTAAAATAATGACCGTTAATTTAGAGAAATTTACCAAAAAATAACAGACATTAAATTACAGAAATTTACCGTAAAATAACGGACAATAAGTTACAGAAATTTCCTTAAATATACATTTCTGTAATTCAACTTCTGTTATTTTCCGGTAAATTTCTGTATTTTAATAGCCATTATTTTATGGTTTTCTTTCAGCACCCCATTTTTTTACCAGGCAGATTTGTGCTATTTTCATGCTAAAAGTGTGTGAATTTATGCAGAATGATTGTGAGAATATTGTAGTTGAAAACTAATAATAATATATACATTTTTAGGTAGGGCTGCACGATAGATTGCTTTAGTATAGATATCAAAATGTGCGCATCCACAATAGTCACATATCGCAGTAAAATGTATGCAGTGTTGAGTCTGGATTATAGTTGACCAGGAGATTTGTGGCAGACTTCAACCATAGCAGAGTGAAAGTCAATCATTTGGGACTTTGTAAGAATTTCAAGAGAGTTTACAACATTCATGAACAATAAACTGTACCATTTGTAGCCTTAATAAAGAGGAGTTTTACTGAATTAAATATATTGAAGACCTATCGAGTGTCATCAAGTCTAATAGCTGATGACTGCTTCTCACTCAGGGCTGTTTATGCTAATGAGATCATCACTAATGGACGGGGCTTTCCCCCTTTGATGACACTTACAAAGGGAAAATCTCAATCAAAGTTTTTCTGCTGATTGTTTTTATCAAGTGTGATTATAAGGAATAAAATCAATACATTTGTACTATTAGAGGCTGGATATAGCCACACAACTGTGTTTCAACCGCTTATAAGAATGATTTCTGCATAATAGTTCCCCTTTAAAAAGCATCCATTCCTCAGCATTTAGCCGTTTTTGAACACAAGACTTGAAGGCTCTAGTTTAGATGTGCTATTCAGTCATGTTGAATATGAGACCAGCCTGAGCGGCCAGCTTTACCGTGCATTAAAGTGCTGCAGTCTCCATAGTGATGGAGTTAAAGAGATGTTGAATGGCCGGAGAGTAATGTTACATCTTTCTGTCACTGCCTGCGTCCCGGGGCCTGGCTGATGGAGGCATTCAATTCCTGACACTGCCTCGTCATTGGCACCTACGTGGGGTAGCAGAAGCTATACATTATTACTCATACAGAAACCCCCAGCAGTGCGTAGAGAGAGTACATCTGTCCGTATGTAAACATTGAAATGCATCGATGGCCATTCATTCCGGTTTCAAAGCCCATGCACTGTCTATGACTTTGCTGTTTGGCCTAGTCATAATTTAAAGGGATAGTTCACCAGAAAATAAACACTTCGCTATTATTTACATGATCCTGCTTTCTTCTTGGTCTTTGTGCTCGTATGTTTTCCGTGCCACAACCTATTAGCTGTCATGGTTACCTTAATTCAGTTCTACAGTGATTAATTGTCTTTTTAGCTTGTTAGCCTTTTGTTTGTCCTTTATTTTTAAGCCCCTTTGTTTCAGTCTCTGTTTGTCCATCATTGTTAGCTCGATGTTTGCAGAGTCTGCAGTGCGTATGCTTTCTGTTTGTTTAGCTCAGCTTTTTGATTTTGACTTTTTTGGATTTGAATCAAACCTCTGACTGTATTTGCATCCACTTTTGTGACACTTCTGTTCCATAGGGGTTTTGCTTACATAGCCATATGCGGAGCTAGCACAATTGATAAACTGACATTAATTGAAAAATATTATTTGATCATACGTCAAATGGCTTTAGAAGACCACACACCAGCTGATTGGTGGAGAGGAGACAGTGATTAGGCCAATTGTGATATGGGCAACCCCGGCTCATTCTGAAAACGTAGTCCTGCGGACATTTCTGTGAAATACATCAAAGGAGGTACGTATTTGTGCAGTTTTTGTTTGTGCGAGAGGCTGATGTGTGCGCTTTTTTGTATCTCGAACGTCTCTCGCCGCCTGCGCTGTTCTTGTGTAAAGCCACCGCAGTCCCCTGTCAAGCGACCGTCAGACTGAATGAATGATTGACTGGGCCACCCGCCTCCTCCTTCCCTAAACCCAACCGGTTTTATCAATTGCCCCGTTAGCCCGCCCGCTTGCTTCCCTAAACCCAAGCAACGATTTACAAAAGCGGTCCAGAAAAAGAAAAGCCCTCATCTGATTTTTACCACAATTTCGGATTTCACCACACTCTCCCCCCCTATTATGAACTTGTTCACTTTGTTTTTTGGATTCTGTTTTTGTCTCACCTGATTTCTGGAACCGTTTTTCCCCGGACTCGAAACTGGACGTCACTGTCATTGTGGTCAGCTCCTCTCTGCGAGCTGACTGGTTAAAACTGGTTGCAGCGGGAACGTTTTTTTAGGGTAAACCTTCCCTCTAATGCCAAGAAAAGTGACCACATATGAGCCGTTTGGAGGTTATAGTATGCAATTTTATAGAAGTGAGTATTGGGAAGTATGGCTACCCACACTCAAGGTTAGATTGGGGGAGATTTTGAATAAATAATTTTATTTTACAGAAAAATAAACTTAAAATGGCTTTGGAACAGCTTAAGGTGCTCATATCGCAAGAAAAGTTGCCACGTGAGCTGTTTGGAGGTTATAGTATGCGAAGTGAAGTGGGTATTGGAAAGTATGGTTGCCCACACTCCAAATTGGTTAGATTTTCCTGTCAAAAACATCACATAACAAGACAATCTAGGACATCAAGGACGGTCTTTGTTAGCAAATGACAAATATCTTGTTCATTGTATGCATCATCATCATCATCATCTCTCGCTCTCTCTTTCTTTAGCTGCGATGTTTCTGGAGCACTGGAAGCGCCGACAGATCAGCCTGAACTATAGCTGGGATCTGACAGGCATGGAGGAGGAGGAGGTACATTCACACACGCACACAGTCACATTACGTTACTCACTAGCGTCCGCATAGTGTCTGGATTACAGCGCAGTGGCTGATTTCAATGACGCAGTGTTGGCTTGACACTGACCGACTGAAAATGACTAATGCCGCTGACTGTTATATGCTGCGACGCAATGGTGGCGTCCCTATCCGAAAGTATTAACGCTGTGTGTGTATGTCCCCCCCCCAAAAAAAAATGGACTCACCAATATCACTTGTTGTTTCTCTGAATGCACTCTTTCCCGGCAGGAAAAGGCGAAGGTTTGGGTGTGATTTGTTTTTAACGTTTGAAACTCTCTCTGCTCTTTGAGATGTTGAGTCTGACTGTGCGTTTTGATCTGGATTTGTTTTTATTTTTAAGCTGTTTGATTGGTTTGAATCTCCTCTATCTCCATTTATCTTCCAGGAGAGTTGAAAACACTTGCCTTTTCTTTTTTTTTGTCCCCGTCCCTCCTTAGGAGCATCCCAGACCCAAATACGAAACCATCCTCCTTCAGAAGAGGCAGAGGAAGAAGAAAAACAAGAAGAACAAAAACGAGGTGGGCAGGCGGCTTTTCTGCATAATGCATCTCATTAATGGCTCCATCTAAATATATATGGGTTTTTCTTTCGGCTTCTGGCTTAAGGAGGAATGAGCAAATGCTTTATTGAGAAAAAAAAAAAAAAAAACGATGGTTATAGGGGCAGAGATGAGAGGGTGCCAAATGCTGTGGGCCTTTTTTTTTTTGCACTGCATTCCCATCATGCATTTCGTCGGCCTGAAGCATTTGGCACTGGTGCTTTGGGGCTCGTAGGCTGCGCTTTTGCGTTGGTGATGCCGGAGAAAAAGAAAAAGGAAGCAGCTCTGGTTTATTTAGATGTGCGATTGTGTGACGGTTCAGATCTGTGTGTTCCAGCCTGAGAGAGTTGTGGACGAGAGCGGGGAACTGGGCAAGGACAAATGGAGGCAGAGGTTACTGTCAGCCATGGCTGCTGGGAATCCGGTAAATGGTGCTCTCTCTCTCTCTCTCTCTCTCGCTCTCTCGCTTTTTTCTATCTCTATTTCTCTCTCTCATTCTCACCTCGATCTCTCCAGAGCCTTGTTTCCACCTGCTTGTGCTACAGTTTCTGTATAGAGCTCCCTAGTTGTGAGGCTGGAAGGTTTTTCTTCTCCTGTAATGGTGTGTGACAGCAGCCTGACCCAGCAATCTAACTCTGTTTTCATTTAGAAAGTCCTTCTAGTTGTATTTAAAAGGCAAGACACTACAGGTCAAAACAAAATGTTTTTAATAATTTTTGTTCATGCACCAGTCAATATTGGGCTGTCTAGATTTTTATATAATGCTAGACTACTAGAGGGAACACATCCCAAATAGACTTTTAAGTTTCGTTTTAAGTGTTAAGTGTTCGTTTTATTGCAAGGCATCTATTTACATCTGATTTAAATGACAATATATTGCTTTATATTCGGGTGGCATGGTGGCTCAGTGGTTATTCCGGCATATGCTTACGTTAAACTCACCTAAAACAGCTTGTGTCATTTATAAAATGAAGTTAGAACATAATTAACTTAGTTTATTAAGTTACAATGACCTAAAAAGTATGCTATCGGGACTAATTGATCATATAAGTTTTTACAGTGTGTGTTTGTTTTTTTTTTTTTAGTTGATGTTATTTCTTTGTGTTTATTGGATTTATGATGAGCAACATCTAATGACTGTAACTAACACTGTTGGGAAAGGGGAGGGAAAGCGGATGTTAAATAAGATGTAAAAATGTGATTGAAAACTGATTGTACTTTCATATAATTGAGGAAAATTACAAATTTGAGTCATAAAAAAAGTATTGCTCCAAACATATGCTGGAATAAAACAAGCTCAAAACATACGCTGGAATAGTTGGTGGTTCATTTCACTGTGGCAACCCCTGATAAATAAGGGACTAAGCCAAAGGAAAATGAATGAATGAATGTTTTAAAATCTCAAAATTACTTTTTCAAATGCTGCAAAATTGAATCAAGATTATTCGCATCCAAAAGAAAAGTTTGTTTTCACATATTTATTATGTTGGTGTGTATATTTATTATATGCATGCACATATTTGAGAAAATTATTATTTATATGTACATAAAAAAATATATTATATATTATATTTCTTGTCTGATTCTGATTTCTCCCTAAGTGGGACCTGCCAATACTGATATTTTGCTGATTCAGATAAAAAAAAATGATAATACTACTACTATTAATACTACTACTAATAATAATGATAACAGTCATTATAAAAAAAATAAACATCACATCTCCCTCAAGCTGCATTAATAACATTTAAAAACATTAAGAGTCCTGAAAACATTATTTTTTCTGCTTTGTTTACATTATTTTCTGATTTAATAGGTAAAAAAGGTAAAAGATACACACGAGTGGAATTTACTAATTGAAAGTTTTTAAGGCCCCAAATTAGATAGTGTAGCTTAATTGCTTCATTGTGTAATAAATTAAATAAATAAATGTAATATATTGACAGCTCTACTTCACAGCAAAATCCTGAGTAAATTTGACTCGGTTTAGATAGCACTTGGTCCCTCTCTAAATTGAGGTAAAGTTACTCAAGTAATGAGACAATGAAAGGATTGATCTGGTGATGATTGAGCACTGATGATGAACACTTGCTGATAATAAACAAACACAAAACTACAACAGACTTCAGTCACAGCCTTAGATGAAATCAGCAGAGATATAATACATTGAATCTCTCAAAATCTCAGCAGAGGATCATTAGGCAACTAGACAAACAGCAGCCTTATTACCAAACTGTTTCCCCCTATTTAAAGAGGGACCAAATTCTCTCTGAACTATATTTTGCTGTGTTGCAATACATTTTCTTTTCTTTGAGTAATCAATGAGTTGTGAAAGTAATATGATATTCACAGTTCGTTGTTTTATACCTGTAGAGTCTTGCCTTCAGTGTGGACTCATTTCTCTCTCACTCTGCCCTCTATCGTACTCCCATTTCTCTGTCAATGGCAAAACAGAATGACTTGCAGCCAATCCACACCACTGTAGTGCGAGAATCGGAGCCCGTTTAATTTCTAAATGGCTCTTTTGTCTGTCAGAGGGGCTCGGTTGTGTGTGGTGGTCAAAACGGGGTCAGAAATACAGCCGTCTCTCGCTACTCTATAATCCTCTCGCTGCAGGACCTGAGCGCCAGCTTAATACAATTGGATCTCATCAAGTTCGTAACCCGATGTTAGTCACGTCGTTACAACACTAAAGGGTTTCTTGTCCTCGTATCAAGGTTCAAGTGTTATGTCATCGATCTGTTCAGTGATAAATATACCGCAGGTCAGGATATTAAAGAACGCACATGCTCGGGAAACAAATATGTTGTCCAGGAAGGTTTCAGTTGTTCCTGTTAGTCGCACATTAGGTGTGATCCTTGGAGATTTGAGCATTTCTTTTGGAAAATAGCATGCGTTTGACGTCATTGCTTGAGGCTGATGAATTGTACACATTAAAAAAAAGCGATTATTTACTTTACTTACACCGCTGGGTTCCACACAATCGATGTGTGTTTAGGTAACATGAAGGAATTAAGTTAAGTTAGTATTTTTTAAATTTTTTTTGTATTAGGCTTTACAAATTTTAAGTGGATTTAAAAACAAAAATGTAAGTGTCCCCCCCCCAAAAAATCTCAAGAATTGTGTTGTTTCAGCTTATTTTAATTAATTAGTTTGAACAAACCACAATTGTCATTTGTTTGAGTGTAAAAAAGTGAGTAAACCTGTTGCCTTAAAAGCGACAACTTGGCTTTTCTTAAAAGAAACAAACAAGTTAACATGTTGTAACCTATAAAAAATTAAGTCAACTTAACAGTTCTTGATCTTTTTTGTAAATACTAATATTTTGTGTAAGAAAGGGCAGTAAAGGTTGTACTGCTTGCCGAAATTAAGACCATTCAATACACTGTAAAAAGTGATTAGCTACTTAAAGCGAGTAAACCAATTGCCTAAAAAGAAACAAGTTGACTTTACAAAATTAAATGAAGTAAACCCTTTGAAACTTGGAACTGTTAAGCTGACTTCATTTTATTATTATGCAAGTTGTATTCACTTTCAAAAATAAAATTAAACTAATCATTTTTTCCAATACACATTAATTATATGTTTTTTATTTCCAGACTCCAGTATGTCTTTTAAAGTCAATACAGGCTATATAGATTTTATAGACTTAATGAAGCACCAAATATGTAATATTGTCATAACTGCAGTAATTATTTGAAAAGAGACATGCTGAAATAGTTTTTCATTGTGAAAAAAGGATAAGTTGACTTTAGAAGAAGCTACAATAAGCATAATTAAGTAAGCTTAACAGTTCCAAGTTATAATGGGTTAACTTACATTATTTTTGTCAAGTCAACTTGTTGCTTTTAAGGCAATTGCTTTACTCAATTTAAGTAACTAATTACTTTTTACAGTGTATACACTGAAAAAAAATGATGTCTGCAAAATTGTTGCAAATAATTTATATGGGTTGAATTTAATCAAACAAATTAAGTTTAGTAATGTTCAACTTAATTAGTTTGTTTAAATTCAACCCAAATAAATTATTTTATTTTTATTTTTATTAACCCCTTAACTTAAAATAATTTAGTAAATCCAAGGAATCATCTTTGAATAGTTTTCTTTTCAATGTAGATAAATCACTCATGTGCATGTTTTACAGTTCATACATTTAGTCACTGTTATATTTTAATCTGCTTTGTTGGTTCAGTTCTCTAAGTGTGAAAAATAAGAGATGTTTGGAGAGATGTATGATCCTGGGAGGAAAAATAACAGGGAGAAAACAGTTGACTATGGCTCAGGCAAGTTTTGAGTATAGATGAGTGTATCCATCCCATCTTATAAACCAAGAGTTTTATCTTCTCCCTTCTGGTATTCGATGCAGAACTGCTATTAGAAAAACAAATCAGTTCAAACTTTCATTTATCCCCTCAGCTGTAAAGTTTTTATATTTAGGCTAGATTTGTTTTGGGAAATGAATAAAGACTAACTATTCTTTTTATTTAATCATTTCTTATTTTTCAATTTCTTTAATTCAATTTTTTTGTCTTCAATAATGTGACAGTAGCATCAGTTTACACATTTTTACAACTGGTTTTAACGCCTGCTTTCCCTTCGCCTCCCTAACAGTGTTAGACAGTCATTAGATGTTGCAATCATTAATCTAATAAACAGATAAATAATATAAACTAAACAAAGAAAAAAACACATACAAAAATGATAACAATTAAAACAATAATTAATAAACAAATAATAAAGAAATAAACAGTAAATAAGTAAATATATAAGTAAATGAACAAATAAATAAACAAATAAACAGATAGACAAATAAATAAATAAACAAACAAATATATAAATAAATAAAACTAAATAAATAAATAAATAAATAAATAAATAAATAAATAAATAAATAAATAAATAAATAAATAAATAAATAAATAGTTGCATTGAAAGCGACAAGTTGATTAAAAAAAAAAAAAAAAAAAAAAACAAGTTGACCCGTTGTAACTTATAAAATTCAGGCCAACTTAGGTTAAATTTTTTAAGCTGTTTTAAGTCAGTTTAATATAATATAAGTTCAATGGACTCATAAGGTTAATTTGATTCAGCTTTAAAATGAAGGGCAACCAGAATTTTTTTACAATACACATACAAAAATATTTATTACAAAACAATAATAATAGTTGCGGTAAAAGCTACATGTTGAAAAAAAAACAAGTGAACACGTTGTAACTTTAAAAAAAATTAAGTTAAGTCAACTGAACAGTTTTAATTATGCACATACAGTGTAAAAAAGCAATTAAAGTAAGCAAACCTATTACAATTACAAGTTGATTGTAATTGAAATGTTTTGTATTTTGTCACGGTGGCGCAGTGGGTAGCACATTCGCCTTACAGCAAGAAGGTTGCTGGTTCAATCCCAGGCTGGATTTCGCGGTGGCG